ATATATATATTCCTTTACACTCGAGAGGTGAGCTTCAGTCACCATTTTGTAAAATTTGGAAGATCGATATTAATTAATATATCAAATTTATTGTAATATAACCGTGTGCGAGGTATCGAAATGAAATAATTCTACAATTCTATTATGATACAATTCTTTATTTACTGCTCAGAAAAGTATCGTCAGTCTTTTAGCAGAGAATCTTCGAATTTCTACTCTTCTGTAGCCAAAAAATCGTCGAGTGCAAAGGGATATTTGTAAAGCAAATCTTGTTACATTAGTATCTCTTACACGACTGACTTGCATAGCTAGCACGAGCTGTTGTCTCCTAGAAGAGAACATTCTAGAACAATAACAATAGCCACACTAATTCTACACATATGTCGTGTGTCATCTAATAAGCCTAATTACGCAACTGTCGTTTCCTACTATACTATTATCTTGTTTACAGTTAGCTGTTCTAACAACGACCACCCAGTAGAAATTCGTGACCATTATAAAACAGGCTGAGTTTCATTCCCCGAAACGAATTACAGTTTCGAAAATAATTAAGTGGGTAACTTCAAATTGGACACCCTGTATAATTATCCGCACATGGTAACAATACCTGTATCTCGTTGAAAAATCAGCATCGATTCGCGCGGCTATTTTTCACTAACTGGGGAAAAAAGGCCTGCAAGACCAGTCACCCTGACTAGCACCGTAGTGGCAGCGTTAAAACACCTCGTTAGTAACTACTTCCTGCGCTGTCACCGATCTACGCCGGCTCGACCCGCGTGATTAATGGAACACTCGCGCCGGGGCCGACGTGCATCATCCCGTTACGAATCATTAACGAAATCGATGCCCCGCGTATTAATTGATATCGCGAGGCACACCACTCCCGGCTCGTCCTTATCCGATTAGGAGAAACAAACTCCTTTGTGCCGCCATCGTTAATACACGTCCGCGAGAATAAACTCAGACGATTAATCGTCCCGATCCCTGGATCGAGTCGGAGCCGAACTCACGCGGGGGTCCAACTGGTGACACCCCACGAAAGCGGGAACTCGGCTTTTGTTATAGGACGTCGGGGTTATGGGAGTCCTCCACTACTGTCGAAGTCGATTATGGTTATTCTTCATCTGCTTCGCGATGGTTTCTCTCAAGTTTACGTGTGTAGGATATTTTTATTGTTCGAAAGCGAGTGTATGAGAAAGAACACTTGGGTCTTGGTTTGTGTTAGGTTGGAATGGTGTGAGGAAGATTGGAATTGGTTTGAAGCAAACTGAATGGCTGGAAAAAATTGAAGAGAATTGGACGATTAGGGAAAAATTGAATGTTTGTAAAAAAAAAGAATTGAACTGTCTAAACAAAATTGGGTGGTTGTGTGAGGAAGGATGGAATTGGTTTGAAGGAAACTGAGTGGCTGGAAAAAATTGGAAAATATTGGATGATTAGGAAAGGACTGAATGATTCGAGAAAAATTGAATATATACATAAAAAAAGAATTGAACTGTTTAAACAAAATTGGGTGGTTGTGTGAGGAAGGATGGAATTGGTTTGAAGCAAACTGAGTGGCTGGAAGACATTGGAGAAAATTGGACGATTAGGAAAAAATTGAATGTTTGTAAAAAAAAAGAATTGAACTGTCTAAACAAAATTGGGTGGTTGTGTGAGGAAGATTGGAATTGATTTGAAGCAAACCGAGTGAGTGGTTCGAAAGAATTGGAAAAAATTGGGCGATTAGGGAAAAAACTGAATGATTCGAGAAAAATTGAATGTTTATAAACAAATTTTTTTTAAATTGGACGGTCTAAACAAATTTGTTTGTTTCCAAAACAACCCCGAATGGTTAAAAGAACAAAAAGGAAATGAACGGTCCAAACAAAATTGTTCGGTTCCAAAACAACCCCGAATGGTTAAAAGAACAAAAAGGGAATGAACGGTTCAAGAAATTGAATGATTCGCGAAAATACTGAATAATAATAATAAAAAAAAAAGAAGAACAGCAACTGAATGGTTTGAAAAATATCCATTGGTTTGAAAGAAACCGATTAGTTGGCAAAAAATCGAGCAGATCGTATTTCGAGTGGTTCGTAACGGTCGAGCGTTTTACCATGTTGAAGCAGTGAATCGAAGTAAATCCTTTCCTCGATTTACATGGATTATTCGTTCTATACGATTTTCTTTACGCGGAAAAGTCGCGTAAAAAGGGACCATCGCGATGAATAAATATTTAAAAGAGGCAGGAGCTTTTTTATTAGCATCCTGGAAATTAATAAATCCCGAAGCGCGAATTACAGATTTCAGATCCATGCCAGCGCCTTCCATTCAAACTCGGAATTTTATTCGAAGAAAGAATTAAAAAATCGCATAAATCTAGAGATTATTCGAAGTATATATAAATCAAGGAACGAGTGAACGTAGATTTTGAAGAATAGGATATAGGTACAGTTTTCGTTCAACTTTCCTTAGTTCCCTATTATTTGTAACAACAGTCGTTGAATATTCTCTGTATTATTAATTATTATCTTTATATTAGTGTGTGATATTTTATCTTAATTATTATTTTATTTTATTTCGTTTATTCATAAACGCACCGTAGTCCGTTTACATAAAATTTCACATATAAAAGAAAAACAATATATTATTATTATATATTAATATATTATACCTAATATAACACCGAAGGGACGTGTTTATAAACGCTTTATATAAGCGTAAAAGTGTATGAAAGAAATATCGTGACAAAAGTTATAAGGGGATGCTTTATTTCAAATATATTTCGTATATTTTCGATAGAGCGTAGATTGTGAAATACTTATGAAGCATAGTGTACATAATGAATCTAAAATACCACGTACCATAGTACATCTCTAAACTAACCAAACCTATACGATAATTAGGTAGAATATTTTCTTGAATATATATATTTATATACAAATCTTACCATATTAGTGTATGAAAGAAATATCGTGATAAAAGTTGTAAGGGGGTGTTTTATTTTAAATATATTTCGTATATTTTCAATAAACTGTAGGTGGTCAAATTCTTATGAAGCAGAGTGTGTAATATACCACGCAACGTAGTACATCTCTAAACTAACCAAACCTATACGATAATTAGGTAGAATATTTTCTTGAATGTATATATTTATATATAAATCTTACCATATTAGTGTATGAAAGAAATATCGTGATAAAAGTTATAAGGGGGTGTTTTATTTCAAATATATTTCGTATATTTTCAATAAACTGTAGGTAGTCAAATACTTATGAAGCATATTGTATAATATACTACCACGTGATGTAGCACATTTCTAAAATAACCAAACCTGTACGATAATTAGATAAAATATTTTCTTAAATGTATATATGTATATATAAAAATCTTGCCATTTCCTCAGAGTGGTTGCGTCATGAAAGAACCAATTTTTCCACCGAGTTAATGAATTTTACTAATTTAACGAATAGATTTAATTTAAGGAAATTTAACGAATTTCAAAATTGGGTGTTTCCATTTCTTACACGCTTCTTAACGTAACATAACGTTCCATCAGCGATTCGCCTTGCTCTTCGATTTCTTTGGAACACCTAGCACGGAATCTAGCGTGGATGAGAGCTCGAGAGGAAGGAAAGATCGTTTGTCCTCGAAAGTTCTCTGTCGCGATTCTCCAGCCAAGATAGCTTTAGTAACCACGATCGTAGATTGTCGATGATTAGCTGAACGTACTGTGTCGTGTCACAGGAAGAAGGATTACGATGGGCCAAGGCGTACTTGATGATGGAGAAGCAGCAAAAGAGGACGGTCCACGAGGAAAGCCGAGCTTACACCATGATCAAGGTACGTGAGTAATTGTATCTCGACGGGCCAGAAAATTCCTTTCGATACCCTGCTTGTCAGCCATGAACATGCCTAGGACACGAAATTTCGTGGAATAAAATATCCACGCGTTTCACTCGATGGGAATTCCCTAAAATTCCCCTAGAAGTTCGCTGGCTAGGGTTCAGAGCGAACCGCGAGGATTTCGGGGGAAAGAGGGTTCTAGAGCGTCCATTTTGCTACCCTTTCTTTTCGAATTTCCGGGGTGGAGTAATGGGATGATAATATATCACGTTATTACAACTCGTTGAACGATCTTGGACTTGTCTACGTGTCGCGATTTTCCGGAATTACTCCATAATACGACACGTCGCGTGGCGTCTGAGATGTCGTACAGCTGTACTACTGGCGAACGTAGGTCTTATTGTTTCTTCGGTCGGTGGGACGTCGATTTGTACCAGTCTTGGAGGATTTGGGTTAGTTTTCGGATCATAGAATCGTAATCGAAGCTTTTTAGTCTCTTTGAGAATTTTTAGTTATTATTTTTGAAATTTATATGGTGCAATAGTGCTTCAAATATGGAGGTGATGCGCGAGTGGCTTTTGATTTTTCTGCATCCTTTTGTTTCTTGATCTATGAAATGTTAATCTGTGGAGGGTTTAGTTTCGTTTTTAGATTTTAGGAATGGTAGTCGAAGCTTTTCAGTCTCTTTGAGAATTTTCAGTTATTATTTTTGAAAGGTATACCGTGCAATAGTTGTCCAAGTATGATGTGCCAGTGGCTTTTGATTTTTCTGCATCCTTTTGTTTCTTGATCTATGAAATGTTAATCTGTGGAGAATTTGGTTTCATTTTTAAATTTTGGGAATAGTAGAAGAATCTTTTTAATTTCTTTAGGAATTTGCATTTATTATTTTTGAAAGATATACCGTGCAATAGTTGTCCAAATATGATGTACCAGTGGCTTTTGATTTTTCTGCATCCTTTTGTTTCTTGATCTATGAAATCTTAATCTGTGGAGGATTTGGTTTCGTTTTTAGATTTTGGGAATGGTAGAAGAATCTTTTTAATTTCTTTGTAAATTTGCACTTATTATTTTTAAAGGTTATACCATGCAATAATTGTCCAAATATAATAATAAGGTGATGTGCGAGTAGCTTCTGATTTTTCTTCATCCCTTTGTTTCTTGATCTATGAAATATTAATCTGAGAAGGATTTGGTTTCGTTTTTAGATTATAGGAATGGTAGTCGAAGATTTTTATTTTCTTTGAAAATATGCATTCATTATTTTTGAAAGGTACACGATACAATAGCAGTTCTTGAATCTGGGTGATGTGCGAATGGCTTTTGGCTTTTCTGTGTCTTGTTATTGTTTCCTGGAATCGATAAAATGTTAATCTGTGGCGAGTTTGGTTTCGTTTTTAGATTATAGGAATGATAGATGAATCTTTTTAATTTTTGGGAGAATTTGCATTTATTATTTTTGAAAAGTATACGGTACAGTAGAACTTCATACATAAAAATGATTTACGAAGAGCTTCTACCTTTTCAACTAGTAATTATTGTTTCTTGAATCCACGAATCGTTGGTTTTTAGGTTATAAAAAGGAAGTCAAGTTTTAACATTCTATACGACGTCATATTGTGTAGCTATCCTGATTTTCATACTTGTGCCAAATCCTGTCGACTCAATCGAGATTACATACCAGAGTTTCTCGAACACTTTTGGCTCATGGCTCCTATCTGGGTATCCCTATTTTCTCCGTATCCCTGAAAGTTTAAATCTATAAAAGAAATATACCTAGATATCGTGATCGTATTCTCACGTCCCTGCTTCCATTCCAATTTAAGAAATCTCGTTTCACGTGGCTCCCAAAATTCAATTTTTCATTTACCCTTAGACACCCCGAAAAATAAAGGAGCTGAAACTTTACATAATAAATCAATCTTAAATCAATTAATTCGAAAATTAATTCATTCGAATACTCGAGACCCTTCTGAAGGGTTGAACCTCCATCTTTCTTCTATTCTTCAAGTTCAAATTCTACCACGATAAAACGTCACTGTATTTTCGCCATATTCGATGCATCAAACACACTCAAAACTTTCTTTCCTCTTATTTATTTCTCAAAAAACATCGTTAACTTTATAGCAGAAGATCTCTGAACTCCTGCTCTTCTTTAGCCAAAATCTCGTCGAGTGCAAAGGGTTAAATTCAGCACCTTTCGTCTTTGCCAGGGCTGCATGCATCTTTCATCAACCTTCAAACTTGTAAATCAGTTGGCGAGGCGATCTAGGGATTTCAGGCCGAAAATCGCGAACCAACAGCCGCAACCGTCGTCACGGTTCCCTTTAATGCAAACCGTTAGCCAGGCCGTGCAGCATAATTGCATCCCCTTCTAAAATTGGAACGCGGTCGATAGGACGGTATCGAAACTAACTCCGATACGATCGAAATTATTATTATTAATTTCTCGCTGCCCGGATTCGAGCTCTCGTCTTCGAGCACCGCGGCCCGTGCTTCGAACCTCGCTCGAATATCAATTAATACGTTCGGGGTTTCAGTTCGCGGGGGTGGCTGCAGCCATCGAGCGTTCCGCCGCGATGACTGATCGACCGGTCTTGCGGTTTCTCTCCGTTCCGCGTAATGGATGAGCAGAAATTATGGTCGCGTTGGAAAGACCGACATATTCGAGTTCGGTCAATGGCGTGACGAAGTCTCAAGTGAAACGAGTGTGGATCAACGTTACAGACTTGTGCCAACACTCGTCTGAAATTATGTTCCTCTTCCTCGATATCCACGCGTTAGGGTACTCGGATTATGGCTGTGTTATAGTACTTAAGTAGGGTACTAGTAATACGAAACTCCGAGGATTCAGATTAATACTACTCTATTTTTAGTTATTTTTATTTACTTCTATTACTACTGTGGGGGTGCATATCGTCAATAGGTCGTCCACAATTGGCGACGGTTAATGACGAACCAAATTTCTTGAGGAATTCAGATTAATACTACTCTATTTTTAGTTATTTTTATTTACTTCTATTACTACTGTGGGGATGCATATCGTCAATAGGTCGTCCACAATTGGCGACGGTTAATGACGAACCAAATTTCTTGAGGAACGTTGTGTTTATAGTGGACTGTATTTTATGTAGTAGTTCCGGATAACTCTTCTGAACTCTTCGAATGTTATTTACTGTCTGACTGGTACTGACTCTCTCGGTGGTTGTATAATCCTGATCTCTCTGCTGATTGGTTGCTGTGATGTTGGGGGTGTATGTTAACTTCAGCGTCCTTCGGTGGTGGTGGTTGTTTAAACAATCTAGATAATCGTGCTTGTCTTCTTGAAGGGTGATATATAGTTGTTTGTTGCCGATTACCTAAGTGGTGGCTTAGGTGCTAAAGAAATCAAAGGGCGCTGACAGTAAGGATATAAACAACCTTCTACTTGGGACATTGCGGTCCTAGGGCCTCATCAATGGTACTTGAGAACTTTCAGAGCCTTCACACGGTCTATTCTAAACAAAGGGCCGAACGAAATACCGGGACGACATTCCAGGGCTTAACAGGGGACTTACCCCCTCATGGGGGTATACTATTGTGGTATCGCAGGATGAGCGGGTTATCTAGAGTGCGTGCGAAAGGATGAATGATCGTGCGCTAGGATCGTGTGGACGGGATGTTTGTGAATGTATCGGATGAAAGGGAAGAGTGGCTTTAGGAATGCGTTTGAGTGTTTGGGCTGAGTGACCCGCTGAGGGTAAGATTGCAAGGAGTGCGTGGGAAAGTGTGATTGGAAAGAGAGAATAGGTATGAAAGAGGATAGAATGGATGGTTTTAAATAGGGATGCAAGGGCGTGAGTGGGCAGAGAGAGAGTGGGGAGTCGGTCGTAGTACGTGTAGTATAGGAGAGTTCAGAGAGAGAGTGTGAGAAAAGGTGTTAGTTGTATTAGTGTTGCGAAGTATAAACGTGTTGTTAGGTAATTGTGTCGTTGTAGTTATAAGAGTTTAGTTAATAGATAGATTATATTCGTAGTCTTTATCGTCACCGCGCGTTCTATGTTATATTTTATAATAAATAAATAGTTGTACATTATTCGTGTTAGCACCCCCCTATCTCTACACTATGATGGAAGTATTCGTTGTTTCTGCGGTGCTGACTGTTGGTGTCCCCTTTGATGGTATGCTATGATAGGGTAGCAGGTAGAAGAACGAAGGAAAATGGAAGGGATGAGCGTTTCGTCCTGGGCCTGCTAGTGAACTCGTCGGTAAGGCTACATAGTAGGCCCTGCCTTAGACGAGGATACTTAGGTGGCATAGGAACTTCTATTTATCACGTTAAGTGCTATGCCGGTCTCCAGAGACCGGTGCTAAATTTTCCGTTTGGGCCCGGCTAGTCCTCAGGGTCCGGCCCAGACTAGGACCAAAAGGTGCTAACCTTTGGTGTTAAATTTTTCGCCATCTTTGGACCCAATGTTTCGGAATTCCTGTTATAACAATTGGTACAGTATTTCCAAGTTTTACGAATACTGCGCCCGCCGTTAGTGGCCCACTTGACGACCGAGTCTGGGCCTGAACGGAACAAAACTGGGCCTGCTAGTGAACTCGTCGGTGAGGCTACCTAGTAGGCCCTGCCTTAGACGAGGATACTTCGGTGGCATAGGAACTTCTATTTATCACGTTAAGTGCTATGCCGGTCTCCAGAGACCGGTGCTAAATTTTCCGTTTGGGCCCGGCTAGTCCTCAGGGTCCGGCCCAGACTAGGACCACAAGGTGCTAACCTTTGGTGTTAAATTTTTTGCCATCTTTGGACCTAATGTTTCGGAATTCCTGTTATAACAATTGGTACAGTATTTCCAAGTTTTACGAATACTGTGCCCACCGTTAGTGGCCCACTTGACGGCCGAGTCTGGGCCTGAACGGAATAGAAAGCAAAACAGGCTGGGCACTTAACGTGTTAAGGGAGGTCGAGGATTCACCGAGGACTTTACGAGTAAGTTTTCGAACCTCCTTCAAGC